AGAGGAAAAGGTCTTGGTGGAGAGGGAGCTCCAAAGGCCCTAATGCATGGAGTCTGCACAATGCTCTAGGCTCTCAGGAATACACAGATATCATACAGCCGCATAATCAAGGTAAGTTTATAATTACTAGAAAGAGATAATGTGGCTTTTCAGTTTTTCCCATTGGCATCAATTTCAAATTAAATGTTTTTTTTGTTTAATTTCGGTGACGTTATGGTCTATAGCAGTTGTGTATTCTGTTTTCAGAAACAGAATGAAGAATTTCATTTGATCAGTCGTTTTATTTAAGTAATGCAGCTTTGAAAAATATATCTGATTTTGAAGAGGATTCTTCCCCGCTCCAGTTTCACCAAATTTAGGTATATTAAAACATTCCAGTTTCCTGTACATGAACAAATAATAGCAGCGAACAGCCACATCTACCATACACCTTAATTGGCCCTTACAACCATATGGAATGATGAGCTAGCTGGGGCTTGTCCTCTCATTATGGTAGATCCCCAGCCATGTGGCTTAGTTTGGTGTAGTGGTTAAATGCGTGGACTCTAATCTGGGAGAACCGGGTTTGATTCCCCACTCCTCCACTTGCACCTGGCTGGATGACCTTCTGATAAGAGCTGTTCTTGAAAAAAGAGCAGTTTCTGTCAGAGCTCTCTCAGCTCCACCTACCTCACAGGGTGTCTGTTGTGGGGAGAGGAAGGGAAAGGAGTTTGTAAGCCGCTCTGAGACACCTTTGGGTAGTGAAGGGCAGGGCATAAATCCAAGCTCTTATTATTATCAAAAGCTGGGAGCTATGGAGTGGATTGGGAGATAACCAGAGTCATTGGGATGAATGATTAGAGATGAATTGGGGTGATATGATATTTTTGTGAGGCCCCTAGATGTGGTATTTTTCAGGGTGAAATCTTTAATCTGTTCGTGGAGGCCAAATTAAGAGTAAATTGGCACCCGAGGTGAGGTGTCAAAAGCACCTGCTTTTCTTTTTTGTTATGGATAAATTCAGATTAATCTTAGATTGTTGGGGGTACAAGTATTGTGGAATTAGGGCCTGGATTGAGCCTCAGTTTTCTGTTAAACCTATGATACTAAATAGTCTCTATAGTTGAATCTTTGGTTCTGTTTCACAGGAAGTTTCAGAACTCTGCTGGTGCTGTGGCCTTCTGATACTGATAACTCTGTACATGATTTTTGCCTTAGATGATGTTTATACATTCCAGAAGTTAGTGGTTTCACTATCAGAATCAAAATGGATAGGGTATCTGAAACTAGCTTCCTTGGCTCTCCTTGACTTTCTGTGAACTTCCTGACTTCAGAGATAGAGAGAAGGAGGAGGGATTTGGGTCAGTACATTGGGTTAGTTCTAGTCAGTTCTAATTTTGCCTGCATCACATTCATGGTAATCCTACATAAGTAGGTACATTAGCTGCTTTCGGTCCAAGAAATATATATATTTCTGGTTTACTAATGGTAGGAGCTGGCCATCGACAGTTCCATGTGAGACCTTGGTGGCTAGTCCAGAACATTCTGAATTTTATACAAGTGCACTATTTTAAGTATTGGGTTGAAATATTCTGTGTTGAATATTGAAATGCTACAGTGTTTTCTGACTTAAGAGTGTATAATGGAATAAACTGAGCATTGTTTAAGGATCACTGTCTCTCTATATATGAGTTTCAGTCTCTTGCCAGTCTCCACCAGACCAATGAAAGAACTCAGGGGAACTGGGGGAATCCCAGAAAAAGTCCTGGGTCCCAGAATTCCACAACCATGAGAGCCACCACTTGCCCTGGTTTTTAAAATTATTTTGGAAAGTAATTGGACTCCTTGGTTAAAACTGTTCATGCCTTTTTGACAGAGTTCTCTCTAGACCTTTGAAGGAAGCAGTTATTAAAACTTTGCTCTAAAGACATTCATTGGCTAAGGATGGGGTGGCCAATTATAGGTCTCCAGTTTACCTTTTCTGGGGTAAGAAGATAAAGCATGTGGTGGTGGCTCACTCCCGGGAATATCTGCATGACATATCTGCCATTGACCCATTTCAACCTGGCTTCAGGCCTGAGTTCAGAACTAAGATCGGTTTGGTTGCACTGGTCTTTGTTTAAAGCTGGACAGGAGATGGTACTTTTGATACTGTTGATCTCATAATAACCTCTCAATACAGTTGACCACTCCATCCTTAATTACTTGGCATTGAAGGAGTAGTTTTTAGTAGTTTGTCTTTCTTGTCTGTTTGGCCACAAAGAGTTTTCACTGGGGGAGCAGATTAGGATTTGGCCCTCTGGAATGCTTCAGGATTCCATTCTGTCACTCATGATTGTTTGAAACTTTAGAACTAGGTTTCATCAATATGCTGTTAAAATATAGATCTGGATGTCATTATCTAAGTCTTCATTATCTAAGTCTGTCTCAACACTGAACTGGTACTTTAGAGCTGTGCACAAGTGCCTAAGGCACAAAAAAGTGGAAACTGAATCCAGTCAAGATGGAAGTAATACTGTTTGGGAATGATAATGCTTTGGAGAGTTGGGTTCCACTTGTGGTGGATGGAATGGAGTTGGCTTTTGCAGAGAAGGTTAGTAGTTAGGGGTACTTGCCTTGTCTGAAAAGCAGTTTGGTCTTCTGTCAGCTGTGTTTAGTTCACCAGCTCTCTCCTTTCTTAGACTCAGTTGACCTACCTGCTCTAATCCATGTTTTTGTAACCTCATTGTTGGATTACTGTAATGCGCTCTATCTTGGGCTGCCCTTGAAGACAACCTGGAAACTGCAGCTGGTTCAGAGTGTGGCAGCTTGATTATTGTCAGGCGTTAGCCAACAGAAACATGTATTGCCGATTTTTTTTAAAGTATGTTGGTTTGTGTGTTTATTTAAAGATGCTGATTATACTTGTTAAAGTTCTTCATGGCCTAGGATTGGTTCTCCCTGTATATCCCTCTATGCCAATTACAGTCCTCAAGCTGCCATCTACTGGTTGTTCCCTCACTTAAAGTAGCTTACCTGGTATTGAAGCTGAATTGTGCTTTTTCTGTTGCAGCTCTCACCCTATAGAGTGGGTTCCCTGAGGAGATCGGGGTGTTTGTGTGTGCCATCTCTAGAAGATTCTATGAGTTACTACGAAACCATTTTAATTGCTAAAGCTTTTAATGGTGTCTAGGCAGAAGGCAAGGGGGGTTGTTGAGTTTTACTGTGATTTGTATGTTTTAAATTTGGATTTGTAAGCTATGTTGAAGTAAAAGGGAAAGGGAACTTAGTTCTCATGTGTTAATATAATAAATATGATAAACAAAAGTGCAGTTATTTGTTCAAGGACTATTTAGTAACTTCATCTGTACACTTTGAATCACCTACCAGTTAGATTTTTATTGTATCCCTCTTTCCAAGGAGCACAGATGAGTGCACAATGTTCCCCTGTCCTGTAGTTTGTTACCTGGCTAAACTAAATGAACATCTAGAAATAATGTTGCTCAGGGAAGATGAACTGCTGTTGCTGAAATAATTTGACTTCCTCTTTCTAGTTCCACTGAGACAAGGACCGATAGAGGGTGGTGATAGCAGCCCACACACATCTTTTCTAACACGTGAAGAGCAAGCCGAAGTGTTGAACCGTCTGGACTTTGTCCTGAAAAGCCTTATAGAGCTGCGACATGAAGTCGAAGAGCTGCGGAATAGCTTGCAAGGTTTAGCTGGAGAAATTGTTGGAGAAGTGAGGTTGGTAGAAAACCATTATTTGGGATCTGGAAGTTGCTGAAAACCTTCCCACTCAGCCATCTTTTTTTTGCAAGAGAACATGGAACAAGTTTGGGTAAAATTGGTGTTTGCTTTTTATTAATATTGCTGTCTGTAGGGTAGTAGTTCTTCCAGAATAATTTCATTGAAATATGTCCATCTTTAGAGTCAAGCTGGCCTGCAACCTTTACTGTCTAAACTCTTGAGTGCAGAAGCAAATCTTTTTTCTTAGCCGTTGGTGAAATGGCAAGTAACTCATGAAATTCAACTAAAACTGGAGGGAGAAGTAAGGCTCTTTCATTCAGGCAGTTTTGGTTTAAAGTTGTATAAAACTTGTTGATCTAAGACCATGCTTTCCCAAACACTTGGGCTTAATAACTGCTTGATTTGTTGCCTCTCCTTTCCTCCTCATTATGGTAAAGGCATCAAAGTGAACAAGAATATATAATGGCACTCTTTCAAAAGTATCATTCCATGAAGCGGGAACCCCATCAGAGAAAGCCCATGTTTGGGTTGCTGTCAGTCTTACCCACTTAGAGGGTGGTACCTTCAGAAGCTTAGCTTCACTTGGATAGCTTGTTTAACTATCATAGCATAGCATAGCAGGAGAGGTGGTCCTGCAGATAGGAATGTCTGAAGACATAAAGGGCTTTGTAGGTGATAACCAGTACTTTGAACTGAACCCAGTAACTGATATGCCAATGGAGTGACTGCCAAGTAGGTGTAATATGCATCAAGCATCATTTCTGGTTCTGGTTCGGGAGCAAACTTAGGTGAGCATTAAGCATAGTTCTCCCAGTCTGGATCTATTGTATTTTTATCTTGCCCTTCTTCCAAGGGTGGTGTATATGGTTATCTCCTAATTTTATCCTCTCAGCCTGTGAGGTAAGTTATGAAGTGAGAAAGTGTGACTGGCCCCAGGTCACCCAGTGAGCTTGATGGCTGAAAGGGATGTTGTGACGTCCTCCTTATTGGGGAGGACTAGTTTCACTTTAAAAGTTTTCTTTATTTTGTTTAACAGGGTAGATTCTGCTGCCACCAGGAAATTTTAAGGATTTCCAAACCTTTATGCTTTTACTTTTGCTCTTACTAGTTTGGTAGACCGAGTTCAAGGCTTACGAGGAACTATGTGGTCCTGGGAAGTATTTCATTCAGAGCTGGTATAAACTTGAATAAAAGAGGATTTATTGAAATAAATACTAAATAAGAGGGTGATACAATGTAACTAGTAATGTGTAAATGATGTACAATTGCTTTGGTATCACACTCAATCTTTTCCCTCACTGACAGGGATCTTTTCATGTAACTTTGTAACACTTGTTTATCTCAATGCCATATATGTTCACTGTTTCACTCCAGTTTGTTATGACACTCAGACTTTCCTTTAACTTTTCTTCACTTAAACTTTAATTTACTTTTCCTATACACTCAGCTTTCAGCTCTTTCTCTTTCTCACTGAACAACCTCAGCTGTCAGCTTCTAACTCCTTCCACACAGAACAGCCTGTGTACATCAACTGTCAACTTGTAACTGAAACTCCTGACTGACTCACATACTCATCCAACCAGATTCACTTCCAAAACCCCTCCCCCTCTCTGTCAACCACCAATCATACCACACTTGCCTCTCTCAACCACTCTAGTCTATCTACCACAGCCATGCAACCAAACTTTTAAAGAGACACACACACACAAAAACAAGGAATCATTACAGATGTCATGGCAGACGCTGGTTACCATGAACCAGGGAGTGGAGGGAAGCATCAGGGTTAGTGAGGGAAGGAGAGAGTACTTCAGCTCATACCACATACCCAGTGGTCAAGCTGTGGCTTAGCTTTGATATATGAATTGAAATGTGGCTTCTGTTTGGTGTAGTGGTTAAGTGCGTGGACTCTAATCTGGGAGAACTGTGTTTGATTCCTCACTCCTCCACTTGTACCTGGCTGGATGACCTTGGGCAAGCCATAGTTCTGGCACAGCTGTTCTTGAAAAAGAGCAGTTTCTGTCAGAGTTCTCTCAGCCCCACCTACCTCCCAGGGTGTCTGTTGTGGGGAGGAGAAGGGAAAGGAGTTTGTAAGCCACTCTGAGATTTCTTTGGGTAGTGAAGGGCGGAGTATAAACCCAATCTCCTCTTCTTCTTCTTCTTCTGCTCCTAGTTTTAGACTGGTACTGGTTAGTGGTAGGGAGGAAACTGAACAAGGAACCAGGGTTTCACATCAAAATCCCTTTATCATAGTACCACTATATGGAATTTTGCATCATGTAATGTGTCATGATAATACTTATGTTTTGCTTCAGTCCTGTTTTTAGCCTTCTGGCTGGTTCTGCAACCCTAATCCTATTGCATTGTTTATTAAATGTCCCATCCATCAATTATATTGACTCACTCTGTGTAATCTGCTTTGAGTCCAAATGAGAATGACAGACTATAAATAACGTAAATAAATGTACTGATTTTAAAAGCACATCGATATCAAATACTGCTACTAGTGTAGAAAATACTACTTCATACCAGTTTCTCCTACTGATGTTTAGAGATAACAAATGGTAGCTGGTTTTTTTTTTTGTTCTTGTTGGAAGAAGAAGTTTTAGAATTATATTTTACTGGAATGCTACTATGTTTGAATGCTTGGAATACAACACTGGTAGCTGTAACAGAAGTAACCATGTGAGATAATCTAATTATCAGAAGTACTTCTGATTACTGCATGTTTGGCTGTTAAAGTTTTTTTCCAACCCAGAGCTCCAGGTTTACTGGATGTACTCAAACATGAATGCATTTTAGTCTTGACTTGTAATATAGTGAAATTATCATCTAAAAGTCTGTAAATGGCTATTAACAGCTTTATATTTTGTGCATCAATGCCTGATTATAGCCTGATAAAAAAGACTTTAAGGAAATCTTTTCTAGGCTCTTCCAACCCAAGCATTATCAAAGACTCTTCAAAAAAGTTAAGACCACCTTAAACTACTCCATGGAGATGTCAGAAAAACCTACTTCTTCAAAGTCTTCCAATCTAGATGCTAGATCAAGGGTGTCAAACATAAGGCCCGGGGGCCAGAACCAGCCCATCCAGGGCTCTTATGTGGCCCGCAAGTAACTGATGCAAGGGAGGGAGTGCTGGGGCAGTGGGCAGAGCCACTCCATTGTGGCTTCAGCATGGCAGAACAACCTCATCTGCAGCAGTGAAGCATCGTGGGACATCTGCCCAGTGCTGTACTGCTGCCTCTCCTGTCTCACTATGTGGGTTTTCCTCTGCATCCCCCTCCCAGCCCATGGGGCCTTGCAGTGAGGATACACCAACTTGGAGCTTACCAGCTGCTGTCCTTTATACGGTTTCCATCTGTACCTGGCGTTATGTTTTATGGCATACATGGCCTGGCCCGACAAAGTGACATTTATGTCAGATCCAGCCCATGTAACAAATAAGTTTGACACCTCTGCTCTAGATGTTTCAAGGAACCATCTAGAAGCCTAGCAGTCTGCCCAAGTATTTGAAGACAGACTGGTCCATTCCGGGTAACAAGAATTCATTGCCAAAAAATTCTATGCCTTGCCTGATGGAGCAATGGAAGACCTCACAGTTGATGCCCCCAGCGGTCGCCCTGCATTCAGTTACTGTGCTTTCCAAGGATGGGGACAATGTATTGAAGGATCCAGTTGACAGAACAAAATAGCACTTAAAAATCTCATGAAATGGCTTTGCCGGCAATCAGGGTTTTTGCTGTTCTCTCAAATTTCACATGTACGATTGTTATTTGGGCAGACAACCTTTTACAAGAGTCACATCTGGACCTGTTGACACTTAAGTGTTCTCTACTTAAAATGAAATGGGCAGCTGAGTTTGTGTTGGATGCTTCTCAAGACGCTATACTATTTTGCGCCAGGGCACAGGCTGCAAATGTGGTTGTCAGGAGGAACCTATGGCTAAAATGTTGGAAGGTGGACTCCTTATCCAAGTCCAACTTATCAGTAGAAAAATTTTCAAGAAAACTACTCTTCAGAGAAAAACCCTTGGACAAAGTTCTAGTGGAAACCAGGGAGAAGAAGTGACTGCACCTTCGGATGCCAACCTATGTTCCAATGTAGACAATTTCCAACAAACAAGACAGTTGCTTCGGGAAAGAAGCCCTCTGCCTGACAACAAGATTGGGGGCCATTTACAGGACTTTGTCCATATTTGGAAGGAGTCAACTATAGATCATTGGGTCCTTTCACCTGCGGAGCTCGGCTACAAAATAGAATTCTTGACTTTCCCACCACATCACTTTATTCCTTCTCCTATCCCAAAATCTGTTCAAAAGCAAATTTTGCTGCAGGATGTGATCTAGCACCCACTTACCACCAGTGCAATAGAACCAGTTTCCCCTCAACAGTGCTTCCAAGGAGTTTATTCCATCCTTTTAATTGTCCAACACTCTGTGTCACACGGTGGCCAGAAATACCAGGTGCCATCAGGAGGTCCACCAGTGGGGCCAGGACATTAGAACCTTTTATCCGTTCTAACCCGACCGCTCTGCAGTTTCATGGAGTGCCCACGAGTTCTTGTATTGTGAGAAAGGGAGAAAAGTACCTCTTTCTTTACCTGCTCTTTCCCATGCATAATCTTATAAACCTCGATCATGTCACCCCTCAGTCGTCTTTTCTCCAAGCTAAAGAGCCCTAAGCGCTTTAACCTTTCCTCATAGGGAAAGTGTTCCAACCCTTTTATCATTCGAGTTGCCCTTTTCTGCACTTTTTCCAAAGCTATAATATCCTTTTTAAGGTGTGGTGCCCAGAACTGCACACAGTATTCCAAATGAGGTCTCACCATTGATTTATATAGGGGCATTATTATATTGGCTGATCTGTTTTCAATACCCTTCCTAATAATCCCCAGCATAGCATTGGCCTTCTTTATTGCAGTCACACACTGTCTCGACATTTTCAGTGAGTTATCCACTACAACTCCAAGATCTCTCTCTTGCTCAGTCTCTGCCAGT